AGTTTATCCAGCACACCTGGGCCCCCCCCACGTGGAGACCACTGACTCACAGAACACTGCAGGCTCTGCATCTTCATAGTATTCCAACAGTGCCCCCTGCTGACTGTGGTCAGAATTGCACCAAAGGGCACAAACTGCACTGTTTACTTTTTGTTTGTTTGTTTTTGTCGTGGTTTTGCCCCTCAGCCCATCCCTGGGGCTGATGATGGTTTTGTCCAGGTAATTTCTGGACAAAAAAGCCAATCAAAAGTCCAGTAACGCCTTTGCTAATTACATCTTCAAGAAAACGTAAGAGAAGGTTGTTGGCGCAGTTAAAATTAATAGCAGCAGCCATGTAGGGGAGAGGAGTACCGGGCCCGAACAGGGCCAGACTCCCTCCTCTCCCGGCTTGGGCCGGGGTGGGGGGAGCAGGTGCAACACTGAAGTCCTCCCTTCTCTCTTGTAAGAGAGTGAAGAGAAAAAAAAGTTTAAAAGACGAACTGCTTAGACAGAAACCGCTGTGGAAGAATTCCAGCCGAAAGATAACGGAGCTTCCAAGGTCACAGCTGGCAGCTGAAACTGCAACAAGGAAAGTAAAGTGCGAAAGGGGGGAGGCTTGTTTCCCCCCTGCTTTTCTGCTCTCTTTCCTTAGCAGGGAAGAGACTAAAAAGTAATCCCTGCTACTTGTAAAAGCTTGTTGAAGTAAGGAGACCCCCTATGCAGCTAATAGAAGAGTCTGTGGATGTACCAAAGAGAACCGAGACTTCATGAAAAGGACTGAAGTGAGGCAGAGTCCTGGTGGAGATTTGTGACCCTGAGGGAAACCTGTGCTGGAGCAGTGACAACTCAGGTGGGATACTGAGATCCGTGTGTGTGTGTGGATCTATACTGCTGTTGAAGATTTTGTGACTCTGAGAAATCTCATGCTGGAGCGAGACGGCCCATGTGAGATGCTGGAATCCGTGCATGTGTGGATTCGTACTAGACCCATGCCGAGAAGTCTATCAAGGACTGTTCTCCCATGGGGAGGGACCTCCATAGGGAAACGGGTGGACTCTTAAACCATTATCCCCTGTAACCCTGTGGAAGAAAATCCATAGTAGGCAAGTGTCCCCTTGCAAGCCTATGGAAGGAAGACCCTTCAGGACCTGGGTAACCCCCAGCCTTTGGTCTTAACCCAGGAGGGGGGTAAGCCCAGCCCTGGAAGTCAACACAGAGCGAGAGGGAAGGAGAAGAAGTTCCAACTGCAATGAAAGTGCTGCTGCTGCTGAAGATCTGTTACTAGAGGGAGAGAACTGGAACTCCAAAGATACAGAATGAGACTACTTCTTCTCCTTGGACTGGTATAAAAAGGGAAGAAGTATTTCTGTATATATATAGCACTTCAACTTAAGTAGAAATTGTTATAGATATAGTTCTTTAATTTTTAATTTATTAGTAGTTGTTATTTTACTAGTAATAAATGTTTATACTATTTTACCCCAAATCCTGTCTCTCTTTTGTCTGCAAAAACTTACTCTCAACTAGTGGTAATTATGTGGAGGGTGGAAGGCAAAATTGACCCAGAGCAAAACCACAACAGTTTTGAAGGGAAGTATTTTTGGGTAGAGGATTATTGTTTGGTTGTTTTACTTGTGTTTTTTTGTTGTTTCTGCCAATACACATATATCTTTTTAAAAAAGGCTGTTATTCTTTCTTTTTCCACATTTTTTCTCAATTGGAGGCTCTTAATTTAGGATTTACAATTGCTTAGAGGGAGGAGTTTGGGTCTTCCTCGTAACTCATCCTCAGTAAAACACTTGTGTCTCATTTAAACTGAGACAAGTTGCTTTCCCTAAGTGTGTCTCAAGGTTTGTGCTTTTGGGAATCCTCACAAACCTAAAACAGTGCCAGATTATTTGTTGTCTCAAAATATGTACATGGTTTTGATGTAACACAACAAAGAAAATATAAAAAAGGTAAGAGAAAAAAGAGAGAGAAGAAGTGAGAAAAAAGGAAAAGAAAAGGAGAAAGAAAACAGAACAAAGCAAAAACCTTGACTTAGTCCCAAGTGCAAAGGATGTGTGTTCCAGATTTAAAACCATGCTTTTAAAAAGAAAAAGGGCAATGTGACAGCCCAAGTGAATGGAGTTGTATTTATGGACTAAACTGACCCTCGGGAGGGGGGATATCACTGCTTTAGCAATGAGTGGCAAAACAGTTCCTTTGCTTACTGAAGGTGGCTCAATCACTTCCACTCTCACCCTGACAGGCCACTGTGGCAAAATCAGAAGAGGGACCACTGTTTTGCTCTCAATGTGGACTAAGAATGTATCAGAAGTTAACTGTTCGCAGAAAGTCTATTTCAGCAGACCGACCTAGAAACTGTGCCACCAGAACTCAGACTGAAAGTGGTATGGATGGAAACAACTTTTGTGCAGAAGTGAACGAATGCCTTAACAACTGCAAGTGGGATACACCAAGACAAGAGGTTTTGGACTGTAATAAGAATTCCTGAAATAAGTCAGGAGTAAGTAAACAAGAAAGACCAATAAAAAAAAGCTCCAGTAATGGTTGAGAACTGTGGTAAAATCAGCCTATGATCTCCAAAAAAGTGGTGCATATACAAAAATCGGACAGCAATTTGAATAATACTGTCAGCACACTAGACAGTGCCATGACTATTGTATTTGTTTTTGTTACCTTCTGTCATATTTGTAAATGTTCTGTCCCAGCAGTTAACAGCATTTTACACTCTTTGACTACTGCAGCCTGTGAAAGATTGCCGCGAAAGGCATCGAAGATGGGGTGCATCCTCCCCAATACAAGCATATATAGACCAAGATTAATGAGGACCTGAGGAATCTAAGGCTAGGAGAACAAAAGCAGGAAGTAGAATTTTGATACAAGAGCTACATTTTCTGTAATTAACCAGGCTTTGATACCCACTGATGTAAGTTTTGTATCCGTAAGGGGAGCCATGGGTCAAACAGAAAAGGCTCAAGTTTTGAAAAACAATTTGGAATCCAAAAATTCTTATACATGCCAAACTCAACAGTCTCTTTACTAAGAAGACACTTACTGGAGCAATTAAGAGTTGAGGTTAAATTCAGTATACCTGAAGAGGTAGTGAACCAAGTATTCCCTGGAGTATAAGCTTCAGAAACTCCAGGGAGAGCAAAATAGCATTGCCCAAAATATAATACTCCCATCTTGCCAGTAAAGAAATCTGATGGGAAGTATGGGATAGTGCAAAATCTTAGAGCAATTAAGAAGATAACTGAAAACTTGCACCCTTTAGTGGTAAACTGTATATACTGCTGACCAAACTGACACCAAACTGTTGCCTAAATGACTATGGCGAAAAAAAGACTCCAAGCCAAATTAGGTAGGAGATAAGATAAGGATACAAAGGCTTTAATGAGCCCCCAGGCTTTCTGGAATACCCCCAACGTGCGCTCCGGAATATAGATGTTCACAGTTTTTGTAATGATTTTCACCCAATCCCGTCCAACCACCACCCAGGTTCTGCCCCCGCCATGCCTCTTGGGAATTGGGTCTGGGGGCATTTTGGGACCCCCTCTTCTTCATCTTCCTCTTCCTCAGAGCACATAATGCCCTTGGAGGCCTTCCAGAATTCTAGGCCTGAAGGTTGTTGAGTCTATGGCTATATCTTCTTCCATAGGGTTAGGATGTTCTTCTACAGTTCTGCCTTGAAAAAGAGACTAAACAGACTAGTGGAATTTAGGGGAATTGATATGGGAATGGGTAACAGGGGTTTGAGCTGGTGTGTTAAAGGGTAAAGGGATAATATGCTGCTACTCTAAAATCTACATTTACTACATAACTACTTCTAAGATCTACAAAAATTAAAAAATCAAAACTCCAAGGTATCAGACCTAGAGTGGTTTACCATCCTGGATCTTAAGGATGCTTTCTTCTGCCTGCCTTTGAGCCCTAGAAGTCAATCACTATTCACTTTTGAATGGGAAAATCCTTACACGGGAAGGAAAGTCCAACTTGCCTGGACAGTTCTTCCACAGGGTTTTAAGAACAGTCCCACTCTATTCAGAAACCAGTTTGCTAAGCACTTGGAACAATGGGAATGACCATGGAGAAAAGGGGTATTACTGCAATATGTAGATGATCTCTTAATTGCAGCTGAATCCAAAAGAATATGTATTGAATGGACTGTTAGCATACTAAACTTTCTCGGATTAATTGGGTACCGAGTTTCTTCACAGAAAGCTCAAGTAGCAATGCAGCAGGTCTCCTACCTCGGTTATGAAATCACTGCAGGACAACAAACCCTATGAACAACGAGGGAGAAAGCTATCTGCCAAACTACCCGACCACAGACAATAAAAGAACTCCAAACTTTTCTCAGAATGACTGGATGGTGCCGCTTATGGATCTACAACTATGGACTTCTGGTAAAGCTCCTGAATGAACTCATTAAAGGTGAGTCCACAATACTCACTTGGGGTAAGGAAGTTGACAAAGCCTTTTATGAACTAAAACAACAACTGATGAGGGCTCCAGCCCTTGGGTTACCAAATGTTACCAAACCCTTTTTGCGTTTTTTCCCATGAAAAACAGGGAGTTGCTCTTGGAATTTTGGCTCAAGATGTGGGACCGTACGGAAGACTGGTAGCCTATTTTTCCAAGCAATTAGACAAAATAAGTCAGAGATGACCCAGCTGCCTAAAGTCAGTAACAGTTATGATAACCAACATACAAGAAGCACAGAAGTTCACACTGGGCCAGAAAATTACAGTCATGGACTCTCATATAATGTTATAAATATTAAAAGTAAAAGGAAGTCATTGGCTGTCACCTCAGAGCTTTCTGAAATACCAGACCATACTTATTGAACAGGATGATATAGAAATAGTGGTCACTAATACTGTCAATCCAGCTTCTTTTCTCCGGGGGACCACCAGAGATACAGTTTCACATGACTTCCTAGAGACAATAGAAGTGGTGTATCCAGCCGACCAGACTTGAAAGAGGAAACCCTGGAGGATGCTGAGGACTCCTGGTTCACTTCTTGGCCTTTTGGCTAAGATCAAGTGTAGTATCTGTTCTTATCAGTTTAATATCTGATACGTCAATGATGGCACAATTCCATCTGGAAAGGAGTGCGTAAGACTGGATATGCAGTAACCACTGTAAATGAGATATTAGAGGTAAGAGCCCTCCCTGTCAACACAGCCCCAAAAGCAGAATTTATAGCGATAACTTGAGCACTGCAGCTCGCAAAAAGAAAGAAGATAAATATCTGGACAAACTTAAATTGAATCTGTCTCCATATGAAATGTTATTTGGACTGCCTTATCCTGCATGTTATAAAAACAGTAGTAAGATCCCTACATTAGAATTGGGTGATAAGCATCTCAGGGAATACATTACAGAAATAGCAAAAAGATTAGAAAATCTCAGGCAACGAGGATTACTGCCTCAAACTGTGCAATTGGAAATGAAAATACACAACATTTCTGCAGGGGACTGGGTTCTAATAAAGACTTGGAAGGAAGAGTCACTAAAACCAGAATGGGAGGGACCTTACCAGGTGATAATGTCATAGTTCTGATTTTAGAAAGGAATTTTGTCTTTTCTTTCCACTTCCCCCCCCCGCGTGAATGCTGTTAAAGAGCCATCAGGTAAACAAAAGAGTTGGCCTGAGTCCTAAACGACCGAGAATTAGTCTCCTGGCAACGAAGGGGGAGGAATTAGGAAAAAGGCCAGGGTGTATGTATGGAAAGAGGTGGGGTTTGGGGGGTTGGAGCTCAGCTCTGGAGCCGGAGGGGAGGCTGCAGCAAGGAGGAGAGACTGCCGGGTTTCTTCTTTGTCTTCTCCTGTGGGAGAGGAGGTTTTTTTGCTGTTGTCTCTCTGCGCAGTTGTTTACTGGTTGCAGGCATGGTTTCACCGCGAGATCTTCACCAACTGAGTCGTGAGTTTTTCTTCCATTGGGAGAACTTTCTGTTTCCCTTCCCCCCTCCTCCCTCGCCACCCGGCGGTGACCAGGGATCCCACAGCGCCGCCTGGTATCGGGTACTGGACATTGCAAGTTCCACTCCTCCAGTGATCCAACAGCACCACTTGGTGACTACTATAGAACATTACAAGTTCTGCACTTTTTTGATAACTCAACAGCGCCACCTGGTGAACGGTATAAGACATTACAAGTTTTTACATCTCCAGTGACCCGACGGCGCCCCCTGCTGACTGTGGCTGGAACTGCACCAAAGGGTGCTAAAAATTGAACTATTTGATTTTCTTTTTTGCCGGTTTTATCGGTTTTGTTCTTGAAGGGGATTATTGGTGGGTATAGGGGTATTGCTTGGTTGTTTTACTTGGTTTTTTTTCCATGTTCCTGTTAATACACACATACCTTTTAATAAAGGGCTGTTATTTTTTTCCCTTTTCCATAATTTGTTTTCCTTCAATCGGAGCCTCTTAATTTCGGATCTATAATTGCTAGAAAAGAAGGTTTGGGTCTTTTTCTCCTAATCCATCCTCAGAAAAAGACCCTTGTCTCAATTAAACTGGGACAGATACTGACTACTGAAACAGCAGTAAGGACAACTGAAAAAGGATAGACCCATAGCGCAAGAGTTAAGGGACCGGTGGTTCCTCCCCCTGTTGTCCCTAAATGGGAGTGCCAAGGGGACTATCCCAAGTTGAAAATAACCAGGAAGTGAATCTCTTGCAGAACTTAAGAAGAAGAATTGCAAAGAGACATCATCTTGCTGTGGAGCGAAACGGGATCTCTGGTTCATGGGAAGGGACACTGGTGAAGTATCAGCTGGACTTTAGGGGAAAATATGAATACAGGAGATAGACTTACAGTGTGATAACTGTGAATGCATCATCTCTTTATATAAAATATTGTGAGTCAAACATTACTATTATACACAAAAGATTAGTGTAAACAACGGGTATAATAACTTAACTGGCTTTTAGCCCTTCATATCACGAAAAAGAAAAACATAGTAGAGGGCAAGACCAGGTTGACCTCGGTACCTGCCACAAAGAAGATCTTTAACCCTGTTGCTGACTGCAAACCAATAGGCATGGGGAGTGGAGGCACATGTCATACTGGACCTCTACTCACTATGATAGTGCTACAGCTGGTGGTTAGTACCGTTGAAGACAACTGTCAAAAATGTTACTACAATGTCTATTATAAAGAAGGTGTAATACAAGTCTTTAGAACACACAGAAATGTGAATAAAGCGTGCTATAACAAAGATGAACAAAGAACTTGTATAGAGGGTGATAAACAATACTGGATAGCTACCAATTTGGGACTGACAGGAACCAGACTAGGGTGGGACTGTCCAGAAGGTGAAGAGTGGATTTGTTGGGATGTTTTATCCAAAGAAAAAACCCATAATTTGATAAAGGAAGAAATTGTTACCAATAGTAAACCGAAAGTGCAGCAAAATGAAACACCGCAATCATTACTGAATAATTTGTATCTTGACTTAAAGCAGAAATTGACCAAAGATTTAGAATCCCCCTTGGAAAGACGGAATTTATTTATTACTCTGACAGAGAAACTAGCAATTGTGTTTAACCTTACTCGTTGTTGGGTTTGTGGGGGACCCCTAATGGTTGGACAATGGCCTTGGAAAGGTACTGCCCTAAGTGCGAAAGAAATACTCAAATGGAATTACACCCTTACCACTAGCGAGATAAGTCGGCCAGAAGGATGGGTATTGAGTTTTACAACCATTGGGGTAGATTGTTTACAAAGAATAGGAGCCCCTTTTTACCAATCCGTTGGGGATACCCCCTGTAAAAGAATTTTAAGTACAAATTCAATCTCTGGTAAATATATTCCTCGAACCCCCAAATATTATTGGACTAACAAAAACACTTCCGATTGCAAATGGATAGAAAATTGGAAGTTGCGCAAATGCAAAGGAACAAAAGTAAATCCCTTCTCAGGAATAAGTGAAATTTCAAAATTCTGGGAAAACATAGACCATATCTCAGAAAAATTTTGGAAAGTACCAGATGGGCTTTTTTGGATATGTGGAAAGAGAGCATACACTCTTCTCCCAGGAAAATGGACAGGATGCTGCACCCTAGGGTTAATACAACCTGGGTTTTTCTTGTTGCCATTAGAAAAGAAAAATGAGCTAGGGGTTCCACTGTATGGGAATTTAAGACGAAGAAAGAGAACAATTAGAGAAACTCAAGGATGGGAGAGAGATAAATGGTCTCCTCAAAGAATTATAGAAACATATGACCCCACCACCTGGGCATATGATGGGAGCTGGGGCTATCGAACTCCTATTTATATGCTTAACCAAATAATGTAATTGCAAGCAGTAATTGAAATAATTACTAACCAAACCACACAAGGCTTGGAATTACTGTCTCACCAGCAAACCCAAAGCAAAGCAGCCACATACCAGAAGCAGTTGGCATTAGATTACCTCTTAGCAGAGGAAGGAGGGGTCTGTGGTAAATTCGATACTTCTAGCTGTTGTTTACAAATAGATAGCAATAGGAAAGCAATAACCAATATAGTGACCAAGGTCCGGAAAATAGACCATGAATCAGAAGGGTGGTGGACTAACTCATTTGGGAAAACATGGTGGAAGCAGCTAAGCTTTCTTCTCCTGTGAACCCCTGGTGGTCTAGAGGGTGAAAGCGCTGTGCTGTCACCGCAGAGACCCGGGTTCGATTCCCGGTCGGGGCCACTCCCCGGGCAGATGGAACTCGTTAGCCCTGTAAGGCAATCCATCTACGTCCTGAGGACCTCGCTGCCACCGTCCAAACTCGCTTGGCCCCGGCAGATGAACCTTAGGATTAAAGGGTGGACTCAGTTCCGCGCACACTGTGTCTCACCTAAAAAATCCAATGCGCAGGCTGGAAGGTGTAAAGACCTTCCCCGGTTCTTCGTTTGCGAAGACTGACCATTACTTACTTACTTACTTTACTGGACTGTTATTTCTGCCCTGTTTAATCCCATGTTTTATAAAGTTAATCCTTAGTGTAGTTCACAGAATGCACCTGACCACCATACCAATGAACTAGAAAGATGCTGCAGCTGGAAACCTTGACACAGAGAAGATCATGGTCCTATGCCCCAGCTCCAAGCAAGTGAAAAATAAGACCAAAGCTTTAGAGACACTAGCGGAATGGGAACGATCCCGAGAGGACAATGAAAACATCTAATGATTAGCTTGTAATAAAACCATGAGGAAAAGAAAAAGGGGGGATTGTGAGAAATAAATGAAATGGTTTTATTACAAGCAGAGTTTCCATAATTGCCTCGTGGTGAGGAGTTTTTGTGATCAGGGGTGTTCTGCAGTTCCTGTGGCTGCAGTTCTGTTGCAACCATGACCTGTTAATAGTTGTGATCATATTACTGTTGTTTGCTATTGCTGTGTGAAGGCAAACTGGGAAGCCTGTAAGGCAATGAGACCAGTCAGGGATCATTGCCAAGGGACCACGTCTGATAGGATGATTAAAACAGCCAATGGACTGGAAAAGTGTGAGCCCGCCCTGAGAGACCCAATCGGACTCAAGAAAAAGACTATATTGCCTTTTAAGGAAGAAAGGGAGCAGAGCTGAGCATGGGAGGAACGAGGGAACAGTTATGCAAATCAAGAGACCTTAAAAAGAACTGCCCCGCCCATCTCGGGTGTACTCTTAGGCCCTGGCACGAGGCAAACCTGACTGCACCCAGTGCGTGCTGAAAATAAAAGTTCTTTGTTTCACTTTATTTGACCGTCTTCGAAATTTTAATTTGAGATATTTCTCACACTATTGTTTATGGTTATCATATCTCTTTGAACATCTGAATAGGACTACGTGCCAAGAAACCACGTACAACCTCCTTTGAACACTATAAAAGTTGAGGACAAATTTTGGAAAATCAGGGAGAGGAAAGGGAGAGACAACTTGTTACCGTAGGGGAGAATCTCTCCCCATCTCCCCCTCACCTCTTCTCCACCACCACATGCTGCCTCCCTGCCACCGGAGACTGAAACTCTGCCAACCTGGAGAGAACTGAGACCCACTGTGTGTGAGTTATATCTTATCCTTCTACCCTTACTGTGATAAACTAAGCTGTTGCTCTCCTGCGTACACTTTGGGGGGACTTTTGTT